GGGTCACACAATCACATCCACACATCTCAGCTCATTCTTGGTCTTCTAGTTCCACTTGAGGAATCAGGAGATACTTGTTCAGGAATGCTTGTTCCTGTCCCTACTCCCTAGTTGCACAAGAGTGAATGATAATAGAGATTTTCAGGCTGCTTGAGAGAAGTTTAGGAACTATAACAAACATGCAAAGACTTTTCATTTCTTTAGTGTTGTGTTTGATAGATAGCTATGCTATGCTTTAACTGACAGCATTAATCAGACTTCCAGAATGCTTTCAGTAAGGCATTAAATAAATTCCTGAATATCTCAAATTCTTGGCTGGAGATGATGTTATAAATATTATCACAATTGTGGAACTGCTGACCAATGTCTTTTCTTAATCAAATCTAAAGCTCCTCATTTTTCTTCAAAGGGGGTATTTCTGTCTCTGAAGTCCTGGACTATGAGTTATGCAAAAGGTTTTACCTCGTGGTGGAAGCCAAAGATGGGGGCACCCCACCTCTCAGTGCTGTGGCCACCGTCAGCATCAACCTCACAGATGTGAATGACAACCCTCCCAAGTTCAGCCAAGATGTCTACAGTGCTGTCATCAGTGAAGATGCCTTGGTGGGGGACTCTGTCATTCTGGTAGGTGGCAGGGGGATCTAGACATCTGGGATTAGTCATCTTCAATAGAGTGAAGAAGTAAGCAAAGACTAAGTTTTCTTCACAATTTGTCCTTTCAGTGTTCTTTTGTCCCTAAGAATGCTAGTCAGGCACCTGTCTTTCAATGGCTCCTTCTCCAGTTTGTATATTACAAAGGGTCTGACATTAATTTATATCAAGGTGTAAGTGATCAATAATCACATATCTCCCAGGAGTGTAAGACTGTGGGATGAATTAACAGTGCTTCCTACTGGTTTGTGAACTTAGATAAGTTATTAGGTGGCTAGGAAGAATGCGTTTTAGTTTGGGGTTTTGATTTTTTTTTTTTTTTGAGATCTATTGCACAGTAGGGTGAATATAGTTAATAATAGTGTATTGTACATTTCAAAATAGCTAAGAGTAAATTTCAAATATTCTCATCACAGAAAATAAGTATTTCAGGTGATGGATATGTTAATTAGCTTGATTTAATTATTCCACATGGTGTTCATGAATCATAACATCACTTTTTAGCCCATAAATATATACAACTATAATCTATCAATTTATAATTAAAAAATTATTAGGTAAGTAAATAAAATCCCTCTCCCCTTCTCTCTCTCTCACACACACACACACACACACACACACACACAGAGTAAGGCAGCAACAAATGGAAGCACGTTTAAGATTGATTTGGCCACTCTTAGAGGAGCCCTTTCTGGAAGGGATTTTATCTAGTAACAGTAAGAACAGTCACATGTTATGAGAACAGAGGTTCTCTTAGACCACAGACTGCGTTTTGGAAATAGTGAGTCCCATGCTCACCATCCTGACCCCTTCCTGGGCTGAACAGTTCCCTTCCCTTCAGCTCAGTTCACCTCTGGTTCCTGCAGCATCCGGTTGTGGGTGGCTGCAGCCCTCTCTGCTGGATGGCAGTGCATTATTTACACATCAGAGGTGGGCTTCCCAAGCACTCCCTCCTTCCTGGATAGTACAAGAGTACTTCTATACATATAAATCCCAACATTACTAACATGGAGCAGCAGATGATGGGGCAGTATGTTTGCTGTGTGAGAAAAGGGAAATTTCTTGGGCTTCCTAAATGTGGAAATGCATAGGATGAGAGAATGCCCAACTCCACAACAGACATCATTTTTGCAGAATGAAAAAGTAACCAGGAAAGTATCCCTATCATATAGTTGGGCTCTATCCTTACTGTCTCTAGTCCTGAGAAAAACCAGGCCCAACAAGCATCAGGCTGTGGGCAGGTAAAAATTAACATGGAAATAAAATGGCACCAGTACATACCGGTGCTGCCTTCCTTCAGCCAACCCATCCTCTCTTCCACTGGGGGTGTGATTACAGGTGTTAGTGAGCAGAGCTCCTAGGAAAACTGTCAGAGCTATGCCCATTTAGACAGACCTGGGATCCTAAGAATAAACATTTCTCTGTGTCTTGTGTTGTGTCTTTCCTTCATTTTGCTTGTTTTCCATGAAGCTAATAGCAGAAGATATAGACAGCCAGCCCAATGGACAGATTCATTTTTCCATTGTGAGTGGAGATCGGGACGATGAATTTGCAGTGGATCCTGTCTTGGGACTTGTGAAGGTTAAGAAGAAATTGGACCGGGAACGGGTAAGCAAGCTCCCTTCCCATCCACACCCATCCCTTCACTGGGATCAAGGGCACAGGCTCCATGAGTATATACAGCAAGATTCTCCATGCTAAATAATGAGAGTAAATAGGGATGGACTAAAATGCAGTTTGAAGTATTTGGGTTAGACATTTGAAGAACTTTCTGACAATAATAAATGATAATTTCTTATTCAGCTTTTAAAGAAAAGGAAAATATGTGTCTTTCTGGACCGTTTGAATTTCAGTCCTTACTTGAGCAAGGGGGCAAAAAAGTACCTTCAGTGTTGGGATCCTGTGGTCTTGGTTTCATGAGCAACTTTAGCCCTAGGTGAGCAGATACAGAAGGATCACCTGAAGCCATCTAGTTTGGAAAGAATGATCCAGAAAATTCTTCTGTTCAGGGTTAAACTAAGTTTCTAAATATTGTCTTTCTTGACCAAAACTATGCATTTTCAAAGAGAAATTAAATATGGAAAAAGATGTCACAGTAGTGATGCTAAAAAGCAGATAGACTCCTTTGGATGATATGTCCCCATAGTCGCAGATTAGTAGGAGCCCCAGAAATATTAACATTGATAAATAAGACAGATCAACAGTGACAGCTGTTGCATTGAACAAAGGCCCAGAGCTGTGGTTCTCACCAGGTGTAGTTCTGTCCCCCAGGGGACATTGGGCAATGTTTGGAGACATTTTTGCTTGTCACAGGCAGGAGGTGATACTGGCTCCTACTTGATAGAGGTGAGGGATGCTGCTAAGCATCCTGCAGTGCACAGGTCAGCCCTCAACAACAAAGAATTATCCAGTCCTAAATGTCAGTGGCACCAAGATTGAGAATCTCTAGACCCTGGTCTAGAGAATCAAATGAAAGTGATTGGTCCTTAACAAAGCACAGCCTGAACCTGCAGTTCCTCTGAGGGTGCACAGAAAGAAGGAAGTGCTACACTCCTTCACCGTCACTTCTTTGTGCCTTGGCAGGTGTCTGGGTACTCCCTGCTTGTCCGGGCAGTAGACAGTGGCATTCCTGCAATGTCATCAACTGCAACTGTCAACATTGATATTTCTGATGTGAATGACAACAGCCCAATGTTTACACCTGCCAACTATACTGCTGTGATTCAGGTAAGCAAATCTTGCCTGCCAGGCATTCGTCCTTATGCATTCAGCCTCCTTCCTCTGCTATGGTCTACTCATTAGGGTTTATTGTTGCCATTACTTAGTATCAACTCATCCCTTCACAGGGCAAGTATGAAATGAGCCTGATTCTTCTACCACAACTGATGAATAAACACTGGTAAGAGTTTTCAAGGATTTAGCTCTTTCAAGTGTCAGGTGCTTTATGTACACCATCTATCCCCATAACAACCCTGTGAGTTAGGATGGTGGGTTGGCCCTGACTTTAGAGCTAAAGGAGCTGAGGATCTGTGAGGTTATTTCACCCAAGATCATGCAGCCGGTTAGTGGGCAAGTCAGGTCTGCCTTTTGGAAAAAATATTCTCTTTCCACAATGACAGCTGCCTTTAAGCAACTTTGTGCTATTCTGGCAGGAGGGGAGATTGATAGGAACCATCACATAAGTTAAAGAGAGATTGGGCAGCAGGATAGAGCTCCTGCTCATTAAAATTAATCTTCCATAAGCAATTTGTTTAGCACTTTAAATCCACATGCTCTCTAAAATTAGACTGTAGGATAGAGTAACTTACTGCTGGTATTCTGCTATCAGAGAGCATGACTCTTCTTCCCACTTACATTTTATTCAGAAGCTATTTCATGATCACATACTGGGTGCTGTGTTTCCTCTACTTTCTGCTATTTCTAGAATCCAGAAGCCCAGTTTTAGGAGGATCAGGAAATGCGGCCCAGGAATACTGTCACTGTGAAGGACTTAAAAGAGACAGAGGTTGCTGTACATGTCTTGGGGGGGCGGGGGAGAGGGGAGCACAAATGTTCTAGAGAATCAGCTCTAGCCTGATCTGCTTTGGCCTCTGAATCTCCCCCAAGGCATCCCAGAGCTTTGTGGGTAGAAGGTAAGATGAGAGTGGGCCAGGTCTTGAGGGGCGACTTTGGAATAACACTCAAGACTTTGAGTCTGGCCATCTATAGACCCACCACCACTACTGAGCTGTCCAAGAATCAGGCTGGGAGGTCGTCTTAAAGCAAGCAGCTATCTGCTTAACCCCCACTCCTCTGTCAGCAAAATCTGATTCTTTCCTGGTGGAATTTTGGTTTCCTGTCCTCTCTGATGATTTTTCCAGCAGCGGTTCATTCTGATCCCTCTCCTGCTTCCATAAGCTTCACCCAGGGTCTGTGCCTTCCTCCACCACTTCTCTAAGATTGCTCTTTTCCAAGTCTGTCACCCACAGAGCACTCTCTGCCCCTCACGCCTCTCTGTGCTCACCTGCAATCAAAATGGGCTTTGCCTACTCAACATTCAGTTTTATGACGTGCATCCATCAGCCTGACAGACTGTTTTCAACAGGAAATCAGCAGAGAAAACCAAGCGTCTCCACCTGTGAGCAGTGGCTGGTCCCCTGTCTTACCCGCAGGACCCCACCTGTCTATGTCACATTACGCCCTTCTTTTGCAGATGATGACCCAAGGGCACACATTTTCTGTCTCTCTCCCAATCTTCTATGGAGGAGACAGCCTTTACAGAGTGAGCAGACAATAAATAGGTCCTCTGTTTTGTGTGGTGCTGAGGATGTTGTTGGTGTGAAATAGTAAATCTATGCTGGGCTGAGGTGGTCCCATGACTGTGTCCCATTCCAGAGGGAGATGGTGTCTCAATCTTGATGACCAAAGGGACACTGGAGAGAGGAGCAAAATAAGAGGTCTCTGAGATCCTTTTCTCTTTCTCCTTCAAAAAAATGTGCCTCCCTTACCCCAGCCCAGAATGACTTCCTTATTCCCGCACATGGTTTTCGTAAGACTAATTCTGGGCATAAAACTTGAGGGAGCCTGCCCTCCAAACTGCAGTGTATCATTGTCTCCATCTCTGAGACGCACACATTTAATCCTGTGTTTATACATCAGGAGGTCTGAACTCATAAAACTGACTTCAGGCCCAAGCTGTGGTAAAGCCACGCCTTACCCCAGCCCAGAATGACTTCCTTATTCCCGCACATGGTTTTCGTAAGACTAATTCTGTGCATAAAACTTGAGGGAGCCTGCCCTCCAAACTGCAGTGTATCATTGTCTCCATTTCTGAGACGCACACATTTAATCCTGTGTTTATACATCAGGAGGTCTGAACTCATAAAACTGACTTCAGGCCCAAGCTGTGGTAATGCCACATCTACACAGAGTCAGGCAAAGAAACCAAGGCCTGAACTACAGAGGATTTAATTTGGCATTTTCAATGTGAAGATAACCTTTGACCCAAAGAAGTGTGACCATGAGTCTTTGTATTTCCATTTTGGGGAAAAGGCAGAGAGGTTCTGAAAAATAACGCTCACATAATAGCATCAGGACTTCCCCTCTGATGAAGTGAAGCGTTCCCTTGTCTTCCTTCTCAAGCTGAGAAGTATTCTACCCCCTTTCCCTTTCCTACAGAACCATGGCAAAGCTATGTTCTGGGGGGTGGGGGTAAAGCCCCCTTTTCCACCTGACATATGCCTTTGTACATTGAATGTGAAGTTTCCAGATGGTTGCCCCGAAAAGTCTGATGTGTGACATTGTGGCACAGGGTTGGGCCTCAGCAAAATCATGTTGTGTGACAAGAGTGAAGAAGTGCCTTCCCATCCCAACAGGTTGATATTTTCTTGGCCTGAGAGGATTTCAACGCAGTCACAAAGGCTGGTGAGCGCCATTTATTCCAGCACTCTTTAGGTAAACTCAGGCATTGCAAGCCGGTCAGGGAGAAGGTGTACCCCACACGATCACTGGGACCAGCAAACCATTCACATGAAGCCCTGTGTTCTCAGCTGCAGAGTATCATGTCACGGCCAGTGCGGGAGGCAGCCAGGGGTGGTGAACATGACGCTTACAGATGCCAGCATATTTTCCAAAGACAAGATAATATCACAGGGAATCCCTTTTGCTGAAAGCACTGTTTTCTAGCACAGCACTCTCAGCCGGTAATGATGGGGTTTTTCAAAATGTGAAGAGAGGCGTAATTTTATCTTTCTTTTTACTTTACTCTTTCATGCAGGAAAATAAGCCAGTAGGCACCAGCATCTTGCAGCTGGTGGTGACAGACAGAGACTCCTTTCACAATGGGCCTCCCTTCTCGTTCTCTATTTTGTCGGGAAATGAAGAGGAGGAGTTTGTGTTAGACTCTCATGGGATCCTTCGGTCAGCTGTGGTCTTCCAGCACATGGAGTCTCCGGAATATGTGCTGTGTGTCCAGGTATGGCCTCGTTCTCTGTCCACATCAGGCTGTCTTTCTCTGTCATGCTTGTTTCTGTGCCTTTTGGTTGGTTTTTCTTTGTTGAGCGAGTCAATATAATTCATTACAGTGCAGGAATGTTCCCCTTTTAATCTCAAATTCAATTTCACACCAGTAAAAGTGGCCTCTGTGTGTGAAATTGAACAAGAAGGATGGGACACATCATTGTTCAGGAAGGACATTCCTGTAGCGTGTGCCCAGCAGTCACTGGCTTAAATCTGCATTCTAAAAATTCCTGGGATTCTGATTGACCCCCAAAGACAACTCACTGGTCAACACTTGCTGCTTGATTCTGAGTATTATTGGCCACATTACCCATCGTGGGGAAGCTATGTGTTCCCAATCATTGTGTTACTGGGATTTAGCCATACTGTGGCCTCTGCTTGGTAGGAAGGAGGCAGGAAGGGATATAGCTGGCAATAGCTTCCCTGCATTTCAGTTCTTCAGGGTCATTGGCCTGTGTGAAATGAAATGGGACAAAGACACAGAGTGGCAGGTCTGCAAAGGGTAAGGAAAGGAGCAGGAAATGAGAGCAACCAAAAGTTCCCACGTGTGAATTTTGCCAATACTAAGATTTGGATCCCATCAGTGAAACTACCCACAGTTGCCCACAGAGGGCAACCTAGACTCATTATTAACAGTAGCAATGAGAACAATAGTAGTTCTTAATACACATGGTCCCCAACTTATAATAGTTTGACTTAGGATTTTTCAACTTCGTGGTGGTATGAAAGCCGTACATACTCAGTAGAAACCGTACTTTGAGTACCCAAGCAACCACTCTGTTTTTCTTTTTTTTTTTTTTTGTCTTTTTCGTGACCGGTAAGGGCATCCCAACCCTTGGTGTGGAGTCGCCCGCACCGCGCTCAACCAGTGAACGCACCGGACATTCCTATATAGGATCCGAACTCTCCCAAGTGTTTCACGGGCTCGGCCCCAACCACTCTGTTTTTCACTTTCAGTGCAGTATGCAATAAGTTACATGAGATAATCAACACTTTGTTATAAAACAGGCTTTGCATTAGATGATTTTTCTCAACTGTAGGAAAATGTAAGCGTTCTGAGCACACTTAAGGTAGGCAAGGCTAAGCTTTGATATTCAGTAGGTTAAGTATATTAAACACATTTTCAACAAGGTATTTTCAACTTACGATGGGTTTATCAGGACATAACCCCATCATAAGTGGAGCAGTGTCTGTATTTGTATAGCACTGAATTGTATCCTTTATTGCTTTGGATAGGTTATAGCCTACGCTACTCCATGAAACCTTCCAAATTAATGACTGCCGGCTCCAAGCATGTCGGTGAACTCTTTGGTTACCACCCACTCCTCCAACAATATTATGTGAATAATATTTTATCACAGTATAGCTACTGAAGGCAAGGAGAGATTTTTAGTGCCTTCTCACAGAAGCTGGTAGTTCTTTACATACCCCTCTAGCTGCCAGAGAGTAGATTTTACATCTCAGGTTTTGGAATCTCCATAAAGGGCTCCCTCCCACTGGTCCCTTACAATAAACTACCACCCAGTGCCATGTTTTCCTCCCTTATAAGGTCTCTACGTGCCTTCAGATACATTCCCTTTGCCACTGGCTCGCTTTATTCTGAATATTGACCCATCCTCCAACTATCACTACAGAAGCCTCCTGGGGGTTTCCTCTGGCTTTAGCCTCATTCTTCTCTGATCCATCCCTACACCCCTCCAGGGAATGCAGGGATCATCAGACTGCAGCCCGTGACCAAATCCTGACCTCAGCCTGTTTTTATAAATAAAGTTTTATTGGAACATGGCCTCGCCCCCTCATTTACATGTGCTCCATGGCTGCTTCATATGGAGTAGTTGCCATATAGGCCATATAACCTGGAGAGCCTACCGTGTTTATTATCTAGCCCTTTATGGAAAATATTTGCTGAGGCCTGCTGTAAACTAAGACTATCTCTGACCCCCCCCCCCCCCCCCCCCCCCCCC